CAGTAAACCTCTGAAAAATCTCAATAAACCTTTGAGAATCCCAGTAAACCTCTGAAAAATCTCAATAAACCTTTGAGAATCTCAGTAAACCTCTGAAAAATCTCAATAAACCTTTAAGAATCCCAGTAAGCCTCTGAAAAATCTCACTAGACCTTCAAGAACTCGTAGTAAACCTTTGAGAACTCTTAGTAAACCCTTGAGAATTCCCAGTAAACCTTTGAAAAATCTCAGTAACCCTTTAAGAACTCTCAGTAAACCTTTGAGAACTCTTCAGTAAACACTTGAGAAATCCTATTAAACCTTTGAGAAATCTTAGTAAACCTTTGAAAAATCTCACTAACCCTTCAAGAACTTGTAGTAAACCTTTGAGAATTTCAGTAAACCTTTGAAAACTCTCAGTAAACCTTTGAGAATCTCAGTAAATCTTTGAGAACTCATAATAAACCTTTCAGAACTCTTAATAAACCTTTGAGAATGTCAGGCAGACATGGAGGCAATGACCAAAAATTCCTTCGATCCCTGCCCTCCTTCAGTCCCTGCCAGGCTGCAGGACTCGACATCTGCTCCAGAATCCTGGAATGGTTTGGGTGGGAAGGGACCTCAAATCCCATCTCATCCCACTCTGCCCCGAGCAGGGACACCTCCCACCATCCCAGGCTGCTCCAGCCTGGCCTTGGGCACTTCCAAGGATGGAGCAGCCACAGCTTCTCTGGGAATTCCATCCCAGCCCCGCACCACCCTCCCAGCCAGGAATTCCTTCCCAATATCCCATCCATCCCTGCCCTCTGGCAGTGGGAAGCCATTCCCTGTGTCCTGTCCCTCCATCCCTTGTCCCCAGTCCCTCTCCAGCTCTCCTGGAGCCCCTTCAGGCCCTGGAAGGGGCTCCAAGGTGTCCCTGGAGCCTTCTCTTCTCCAGGGGAACATTCCTAGCTCTCCTATCCTGGCTCCAGAGCAGAGGGGCTCCAGAATCCTGGAATCCCAGGCTGGTTTCGGTGGGAAGGCACCTCCAAGCCCACCTAATTCCATGGGCAGGGACACTCCCACCAGCCCAGGCTGCTTTTGCCTGATTTCTTCCCCATTTTCCAGCTGAAATGAAAGGTTGCCCTCTGGTGTTCACTCAGTGCAGTAAAACAGCAAGGAATGCAACTTCCCAATCCCACCTTTTGTAATAAACTGGGAATTGGGAATAGAAATGCAGCTTTTACCCATTTTGTTACACATCTTATATTCCTGGGCGTGTCGTTCCCACCTCCCATCTGATGCCTAAATCACACTCCTCTTTTCACATTTAAATGTTCCCAGTGCCTTCATTTGATTTCTGAGCTCCCAGGTTTCAAACCAATTCCTTCCCATGTACCTGAGGACAAGGACACCCAGGGAAACGCCACTCAAGGGGAATCCAAGGTCATCTTGGTGCTGGAGCTCCACCTTTTCGCTTCATTTTCCTGAATCTCTGAGACATAAAGCAGAATAATCCAGGTGTGAGGTGATTTTATAGCTCTTACTCACCTGATTTACTCTTGTGAGCACCTCCTACAGTCACTGCTGCAGCCTGGACGTGGCACTGGAAGGTTGGATCGACACAGGATGGTTTTCCTGTGTTCCAAGTGGTGTAAGGAGGGAGGCTGTTGGATGCTGGGGTGCTGGAAATGCAGATTTTGATTTACAGGAGGTGGAAATGCAGACATTTGGATTTACAGGAGGTGGAAATGCAGACATTTGGATTTACAGGAATTGTCTGCATGAAGATTGAACTGGGAGTGAGGAGCTTCCCAGACAAACCAACTGGATGCAGCCGTTTGGGTTGATCAGGAGCAGTGCCTGGGATGGTGTTCCCAGCGCAGGAGCAGGACAAAGCTGGAGCAGCCCCTCTGGGAACAGGCACCCCACAGTGCTGCTGGTGCTGGAGCAACCTGGACTTCATGGAATCACAGAATCCTTGAGGCTGGAAAAGCCCTCTGAGGTCACGAGTTGGCCCAGCACTGCCGTGGTCACCACTGATCCATGTTCCCAGGGGCCACATCCACAGGTTTTCTGCACCCTTCCAGGGATGGATGGGGACTCCACCCTGCCCCGGGCAGCCCTTTCCATGGAGACATTTTCCCAATATCTGACCTGAATCTCCCCTGGTGCAACCTGAGGCCATTTCCTCTCTTGCTGTCCCTGTTTTCAGCAGGGAGAAGGAAAACCCCTCAACCTCCCTGTTTTGTCACAAGCTCCTTCACCAACAGATTCCACACCAACAGTGACCAGCCTCGATTTTCCACAGAACTGTGACATTTCCCAAATGTTTATCCTGCTCTCCAGGCACCTCGGTGTCCTGAGGGGTTGTTAAGTTCCAGGTTGGGTGTCACAGATCATTCCCATCATTCCAGTGAAGGAAGTGTTTGGAAAGTAAAGGCATTTGATCCCTCTCAGAGGTGTCTCCCCCAATCCAGGAGCAGCCACATCCTGGGATAGAGACTCCAAATGCAAACGGAAAGTGAGTGAGGCCATTGAGGGCAGGAGGTTCGTGTTACCTGGAATGACGAGGCTGAAAGGATGGTGGAATTATGTGGGAAAAGGGAAATTCCTGAATTGTCCACCTGCCTCTTCCCTGCTCCCTCAGGGGACAGGGAGGGACAAAGCCCCACCGAAGGACACTCCCTTCTCTCTCCAGCAAATATTCCAGCAGCAGGGATGAGGGAGGAAGGCCAGAGCAGTTGTCAGTGCTCTCCTGAGCCAGTACGAGCCAGAGCACTCCGAGCACAGGGTCCTGTCAGGTCACCCTGATAAGCAGCAGGGGAAGCCCACTGTCCCCAAACCCAGCAGGAAATGTCACCTCTGCTGTCCCCACCCCAGGGCAGTGACGGGGGCTCACTCTGAGCAGCCAGGAAAGCTTTAGGATAGGAGGGAAAGGCAGCTTCCAGGGGGTCTCCAGCCTGGAGCCAAGCCAGGCAGTGCCAGGCACAGGACACGGTGACACAGGGGTGTCCCCAGCCCCGCTGGCACTCCTGGCACTCTGGGTGATCCCGGAGCTCGGTGCCAGGGATGAGCCCATGGGAGCTGCCAGTGCCACCTGCCCCAGAGAGCAGCTGGAAACAGCCCCAGGGAGAGATTCCCAGGGGACAGCTGGGAATGGGGGCACTGCGAGGGCACAGGGGGAGTGGGGGTGGGACAGAGAGAGGGACAAGGGACCGGGATGGAGGGAAGGGCCAGGAGAGGGTAAAGGGGGAGGAGGGGAGGGCAGAGAGTGAAGGGGCAGAGGTGGGTCCCCAGGGCACAGAGGGGACTGGGAGCAATGGCGGGGACGTGAGGGTGGGGGAGGAGGTCGCTGGGGCAGCCAGACAGCGATGGGGGGCACTGGGGACATGGTGAGGGACACTGGGGCAGCAATGGGGGCACCAGAGCTGATAAGGGGGCACGAGGGATTTGTCAGGGGAGGGAGGGGGGACACTTGAGGTTCCTGGGGGTCCCGAGGGTCTCTGGGGATGGGGGTTGCAGGGAGGGGGCACAGAGGAGGAGCAGAGTGGGAGTGACACTGAGGGGGCCGGGGGACACCAGGGGTCACTGAGGGGTGACAGGAAGGTCGTGGGGTCTCTGAGGGGTTGACAAGGAGGCCAGGAAGGTTCTGATAGGTGACGGCAGTTTGGGGGCTCCCTGAGGGGGTGCCAGGGTATTCCTGAGGGATAACAGGATGTCCCTGAGGGGTGTCAGGGTGTCCCTGTGGGGTGACAGGATGTCCCTGAGGGGTTCACAGAGTGTCCCTGACCGGGTGTCAGGGTGCCCCTGAGGGGTTCACGGGGTGTCCCTGAGGGGTGTCAGGGGGTCCCTGAGGGGGTGTCAGGGTGTCTCTGAGAGGGTGTTAGGGGGTCCCTGAGGGGGTCTCAGGGGGTCCCTGAGGGGTTCACAGGGTGTCCCTGAGGGGTGTCAGGGGGTCCCTGAGGGGGGTTTCTGAGGGGTGCCGGGCTGGGTGCCCGCGGTGCGGGTGGTCCCGGTGCCCCCCGCGCCCTTTACCTCAGCCGCTCCCGCGCCGAGCCCGCCCCGGCCCCGCCTCCGGCCCCGCCGCCGCCGCTTTTCCGGCCGTCGCAAAACGGGGCGTAAAAACCAAGCGCCGCCCGGTGCGGGGACACGGAGGTAACGGGGGGACAGGGAGGGGCTGCGGCCAGGCCGGGACCTCCCGGCCCCCTCCGGGACCGCCCCGGCCCCGGGCTGAGCTCTGGGGGAGCGCCCCGGTGAAGGGGGGCCGGGGCTGTGCCCGCGCCGGGCCGGGGCTGCGGGCCGGGGCTGTTCCGGGGCCCCCCGAGACCGCCCGGCCCTGCCCGGGGCTCTGGGGGCGCGGGGGGAGCCCTGAGGGGGGCCGGGGCTGTGCCCGCGCCGGGCCGGGGTCGGTGGGGGCGAAGCGCTGAGGGGACCCCGAACCTCCCTTTCCCTCCCCTTCCCTCCCCTTCATCCCCTCCCCTTCCCTCCCCTTCATCCCCTCCCGTCTCCCTGCCCTGCCCCGTGGGAGCCCCGGCCGGGGTTTGTTGTGGGGGACGAGGCTCCCCGGGTTGTTTTCCCCTCAGAACGCCCCGAGTTTTGTGCGCGGGGGCCTCGTTTTCCGTGCCCTGCCCCCGCAGGGCCCCCGCGCCGGCCGGGTTTGGTCTCGGGGTGATGAAAGAAGGGCAGTTTTGCTCCTTGCCGAGCTCGTCCCCAGCCCAGGCCCTGCTTTCTCCTCTCCCCTCCCACTGAGGTGCCTTTTCACTGCTGGAATTTGCCTTGATGAGGGTGTGGAGAGGCAGTGTCAGCTCCTGTTCTCAGACAAGTGCTGACCTTTGATTTCCACAGCTTGTTTTCCCTACCTGTGTGTGGAGTTAGAGCACCCTGCCCTCTTCCTACGCTTCAGCCACGTTTTCTTCTCCCCCTCCATTGTCTCCTATTGATAAACAGCAAACTCTTATTTTAGTCTTCTTTCTCTGCTCTTCTTCCTGTGGAGAGTTACACGTTTCATTCAAGGGAGATGGAACATTGTGAGGGTTCTTGTTTGTGCTGGAAAAGCTCTTCCTGACCCTGTACTTTCTTTTTTTTTCTGGAAAAAAATCTGTATAAGAGAAACGTGTGAAATGGTTTTGACCCACTAAAGCTCTCCAGCTCCTGCATGTTTCTTGAAAGCTGGACAAGACGCTGAGCTTTCACCTCAACTGGGTTAAATCTGGAGAGGAGAAAAGCCACAGAAAAACAGAAATAAGGAACATAAATCTGAAAAAAAAAAAAAGCTCATCAGTGTTTTTAGGTGGCTGTTCAGCATCACCAAGGAAACAGAGCTGCTCCAAGCCAATTTAACTTCAGACTTGGTGGTGTTTGGATACCTTTGGGTAAACTTGGAGCCATCAGTTGATAACCTGAGTCGTGTGAGAGGTGTGAGGGACTGGCAGTGCCACAAGTCACTGCTCTGGGGTGAGTTTCTGGAAGTGCCAACTCACATCTGAAATGCTCAGGGGGCCCTGGCGACTCACCAAGGTCCACCCAGAGACACAAGGGTGCTGCTGCACTGTGGGCTCCTGCAGTTCTCCTGTGAGTTATTGCATTATATGGTTTACTCCAACCTTTCTTAATGGAAAGTTGGTGATAGTAGAAATTATAGATGTATTTATTTGTATAAATACTAGTTTTGGCTGGTGGCTGCAGAGTATTTGCCCCAGCAGTCAGTGAGGAAAGTAAAGGTGCAGCTTAGCATTTTACAGCTAATTTTATACACTCATTTCTCACATTTCCCTCAGCAACTCTCAAAAAAACTTTGTTTTTTAAGGGAGGAACCCTATAAAATCCTGGTTTGCTGGTGGCTCCTCAGAGCAGCACCTGCAAATTTCTGATACCTTAAAATCTCGTTTGGGTGCTCAAGTGTCACACGCAGAATACGCTGAGTTGGAAGAGACCCACGAGGGTCAGGGAGTGCAGCTCTTAGCCCTGCATGGGCCCATCCCCAAAAGCCACACCGTGGGCCTGAGGAGATCACCTGGAGCTCTGTGAGCCCTGGTGCTGTGCCCACTGCCCAGGGGTGACCCTGGGGGTGACCCTGAGCTCTGTGAGCCCCGGTGCTGTGCCCACTGCCCAGGGGTGACCCTGGGGGTGACCCTGAGCTCTGTGAGCCCCGGTGCTGTGCCCACTGCCCAGGGGTGACCCTGGGCACGGCTCGGTGCCCGGCCGCCCTCTGAGGGGGAAGGACCTTTTCTCTTAACAAGTCTCTCCCAACCCTTCCTTTCTCTTGCAGGATCTTATGGTTCTCCAGCACAGCTCCTGCCTGCCAAACCTCACGTCCTAGGCCAGCCGACCCATGAGCGGGCACCGCAGCAGCAGGAGGAGATGTGGGGAGGCCCAGGCCGAGGCCCCCGCGGGCTGTGGGCACGGCCCCGGGGCTGGGTGTGTGCTCAGCAAGCTGGTGCAGCTGCCCACGCCCCCCCTGAGCAAGCACCAGCTCAAACGGCTCGAGGAGCACAAGTACCAGAGCGCAGGCAGGTCCCTGCTGGAGCCCCTCATGCAGGGCTACTGGGAATGGCTGGTGGGCAGGGTGCCCGCCTGGATCGCCCCCAACCTCATCACCATCGTCGGACTGTGCATTAACATCCTCACCACCCTGCTGCTGGTGTGGTACTGCCCCACAGCCACAGAGCAGGTGAGCTGGGCACCTCGGAGCCCTTTGGGGTGCTGGGGGCACCTCCTGGCAGGGGCACTGGGCTTGGGGGGGTTCTTGCTCTCTTGGCACTGTTTCTGGGTGGTTCCTGCTTTCTCGCTGGGCCAGCCCACAGTTTTTGTACTTTTAACCTGTTGTCTGTAAATCTTGGTGCCCCCCTGGGCTGGGTTTTGGGGTGAGACAGCAGCTCCTCAGGCCACAGCTGTGTGAGCAGGGTCTGACAGAACCAGCTCTTTGAGGATTAAAAATCCAGGCTTCTGTTCTACCCCTCATTGCACCAAAGCAGATTGACTGGAATGTTCTGTCCTGGTGCTGAAATCTTTCCAATGACACCTGGCTCTGATTTTTTCCTGTTTTTGGGTCTCTCTTTGATCCTGTACCAAAGGTCTGAGTGCTTTTGGCTCCCTTGGAACTTCCCAGGGCCCTGATAACCCAAGATTTCTGGGGCTGGGTTTTGGGGTGGGACAGCAGCTCCTCAGGCCCACACACCCCTGTGGAGCAGGGTCTGACAGAACCAGCTATTGGAGGAAGAGGATTAAAAATCCAGATGCTGCTTTGATAGTGCAGATTCTCTTGAGAAACTCGTGTTCCTGCTCCAGAATTTCAGCCTTTGGAGCAGTTTTCAATGTGTATTAGAGGAAGGAAATGAAAAATCCAGGGTTCTGTTCTACCCCTCATTCCACCAAAGCAGATTGACTGGAACTGTTCTGTCCTGATACTGAAATCTTTTAAACCTTTCACAGCCAGAAACGGAAATTTGCCCTCAGTTTGTGGGATTTGGAGACAATTCTGCAACAGCCTCACCCAAGAGTCTGACAGTGTTATTTACAGTTTATCGTCCTGGATTTGTAGGTACCCAGATGCTGCTAAACCAGTACAAAGATGGGCCTCTTGTCCAAGGCAGCTTTTATTGGCAGGACACTGCTTTGAGAGTGCAGATTCTCATGAGAAATTTGGGTTTCTGCTCCAAACTTTCAGGATTTGGAGCAGTTTTCAGTGTGTGTTGGAGGAAAAAAAAATCCAGATTTCTGTTCTGCCCCTGACTACACTAAAGCAGATTGACTGGAATGTTCTGTCCTGGTGCTGAAATCTTTGTGATAGGACACCTGGCTCAGAGCTCACCTCAGGCTCTGGGGCAGTTTGGGGACACAGGGTTGTGTTCCTGGGCCCGTGTCCCCGCTGTGAGGGGCTGGATAAAAGTCAGGAGGTTTATTCTTTGTTCTCCATGCACCACAAGCTCCTGCCCTGCCCTCAGGAGAACTGTCTGAACCTGCTTTCAGGGCCCCAAGAGTCTTCAGGAGGCATTTCCAAGTTCCTCATTTCAAAGGGTTTTTTTTCTCTTGCACCTGAAAACTTTCATTTTCGTACGCTGGGAAAGTTTTGGGGTTTTTTTCCACTTGAACATGGAAACCTTAAAAGCTGCCCTGGGAAAGGGGGTGTGTCACACACCGGAAAGCTGGGAATGCCTCAGGATTTCCAGCTGGATCTGAACTCCCTCCTGTCCCGAGCTGAGGTTGGGAATGGAGCAGCACAGTTTGTTCCCAGCCAGTCTCCAAACCCCACGTAGGCTGGCACATCCCTGCTCCCTGTGTGACACAGGGGTGTTTGCCTGTCCTAGAAATCTGTTGAAACAGATAATTTCACAACAACTCGTGGAATTTGGCAGGTGGAAGATAAACAGTTGGAGCAGGGAGCACTTGGAGCAGCTCCTCCTGCAGGCCTGGGGCTCTGTGGGGTGGGCTGGCTTTAACTGGGGGTTATTTGGGGGCTCAGGCTCTGAAATCTGGTTTGACAGAGGCACTTCAGCTGTTCCAGGACATTTGGGGCACTGAGCCAGAGCAGGAGTGAATGAATGTAGAGGTTTGGGTTGTTTGGTGTTTGGTATTGTTTTGATTGGTGATGAACCTCCAGAAACACAAACTGAGCTGCACTGAGAGCACCAGGAGCTCGAGTGAGCTGTGTCAGAGCACCAGGAGCTTGAGTGAGCTGTGTCAGA